ATCATCGAGGGTAGGGCGTTCCCATATTTTTTTCATTTTCTAACCCTAACCCTAATATTAATAATGTTGCCAACAGCAATGGAAAAATAAGGTGGAGAGAATCAACTTAGCTTAAACACATTTGATTAGTAGTATGTATGTATGTATGTATGTATGTATGTATGTATGTATGTATGTATGTATGTATGTATGTATGTATGTATGTATGTATGTATGTATGTATGTATGCATGTATGTATGTATGTATGTATGCATGTATGTATGTATGTATGTATATATGTAGTATGTATGTATGTATGCATGCATGCATGCATGTATGTATATACACACACACAAACATAAACACACACACCTACACACACACACACACACAGGTACAAACACATACACACACGCACGCACGCACGCACCATAAATACACTTGCATAAAACATCATAGATATTTATACAGCCTTTGTAATGTTTACATACAAATTGTTTATTGCTATTTTTGTATGCTCGCGCACAAAACTCTCTCTAATAAAAACATTCTCCAGATTTAAAAAAAAATCAGTAGCAACGCTAACGCATACATATATGCGTCTCCATGTATCGAGTACATCACACGCACGTGTGTACGTGAATATCAATAGGTAGGTATTGGCCCGAACCAATATAGGGACACACACATACACACACACACAAACGCGCATACACACACACAAACGCGCACACACACAAACAAACAAACACATAGAAACAGTCAAGCAAACAAACACCAACAACATACAAACATGCATACAATCAAAGAAAAACAATCAACCATATAATGAAGAAACATGCAACATATAGCAATTTAGCTACGTTTGAATGTATAAAACTGGGTGTGTGTGTGTATGTGTGTGTGTGTGTGTGTATGTGTGTGTGTGTGTGGGTGCACGCGTGTATTCATAATAATAAAAAGATAAAATGATGTTGATAGTATTAATTTACAAAAATAATAATAATAATATACAATTTCTAATACTTATTATCGTTGAGAATTATTTCATAAATAATAATAAAATACTAATACTACTACTACTACTACTACTACTACTGTACTACTACTACTACTACTACTACTACTACCTACTACTACTACTAGTACTACTACTACTACTACTACTACTGCTGAAAGTACTACTACTACTACTGCTGCTGCCGCTACTACTACTACTAATAATAATAATAATAAAAATAATATACCGAAATTGTTCTCGTGTTATGATTTAAAACTGGAAAACGTGAGTCTGAATACAATAAAAAGATAGCGATGTTGTTGCTCTTGTTATTGTTGTTGTTATTGTTGCAGTTGTTGTTATTGTTGTTGTTATTTTTGTTGTTGTTGTTGTTGTTATTGTTGCTGTTGTTGTTGTTGTTGTTATTGTGGTTGTTGTTGTTATTGTTGTGTTTATTGTTATTGTTGCTGTTGTTGTTATTTTTGCTGTTGTTGTTGTCGTAACAATAACACTGCTAGTAATTAAGTAATGATAATTGGTTCCAACAATTGCAAACGCCGGTAAAATATAAAATATAAAATATATATAATATATAAAATATATTAAATGAAATTCTTGTCACAACAGTATGAAAAGGTTTCTGTGTGTTATTATTATATTTATTATATTCTGTGTGTGTAAAATTTTATTATTATTCGTAGATAGTATTTTTAATAATTTTGGTGATAATAGTGGTTAATCTTTTTTAGGTATTACTAGGTATTACCTTAGAGTTGCTTATAAATAGTAGGAATACGTATGAATCAAGGCGTATGTATATATGAGCGTTCACAGAAAGGAGCGATCACCATGCTACAACACAAAATAATTTTTTAAAATATCTTTCAACGTTACTATCAATTTTTGTCATCATTTCTTCATCATCACTTCATCGTCGTCATTTTTGCTTCACTCATTAACTTCCTAACATCGTTGTTATCATCGTGACCATCCACCTGCTTTCTCACCATTATCATTCGTCTTCCTCTTCCTTCTCATCATCTTCATCACCATCGTCATCGTTTTCATCATCATCTTCATCATCGTCGTCGTCGTCTTTGTTATCATTCTCTTCGTCATCATCTTCATCTTTGTCATCATCATCTTTATCATCATTGTCGTCGTCGTCTTGGTCATCATCTTCTTCGTCATCATCTTCATCATCATCGTCGTCTTCGTCATCAGCATCCTGACGATGATGAGAAGGATGAGGGACCAGAGTACATAGAGAAGAGAAAGACAGTGGCGTATAATATATAGTTTATGAGTTGTCTCTCTCCTTAATATTGCATATAAATCGTCCAAAAATTCAATTTCGATGATTCATTACACGCGCTCGCACACAAACACACACAAATACACAAACATATACAAACACTCACATATACATACAAATAACCTTCATAAAACGGACACAAACAAACCTATACATACACACACATACCATACACACACAAACAAACACATACAGATATACACACAGATATACATAACGTACGTATATAAATACACAAGTGTGTAGCTTATGCATATTTATGAGTCTCATTGTAATAATTTATTCATACTTTCTTTTCACTTCATCTGAAAAGAAAGAGATAATGGCCGAATGGTTTGTTTCCATATTTATATACCCTTGCATCTAATACATATGTATATATAGAGATATATGTGTGTGTGTGTGTGTGTGTGTGTGTGTGTGTGTGTGCGTGAGTTTGTGTGTATCTTTGTGTGTTTTGTTTATGTAATTGTTTATGTTGTCATCATCACCGTCGTCATATTTCCGAGCATACACTAACATCTTCTTCGTCATTATCATTGTTTCAGTAAATATCAAGGTCATCATCATCATCGTCGTCGTCATCAACATAATTTTCATCGTCATCGTCGTCGTCATCTTTACCATCATCACTGGGCAGGGTCTGCCAACACGCCAAGCATTAAATGTCCGTAAAATGACGGAATGAAATAGGAATAGAGGTAATTGAAAGAGGACACTAATGACATCATTACGTCGTCGTTCTGACGTCATCTTCGTCATTAACATCATCATTATGACATCATTATGACGTCATTAACGTCGTCTCCATCTCAAAATCACCTCCATCATTCTTTATCCTTGTATTTTTTTAATTTTTGTTAACACTTTTCACACTCGCGCATTTGCTGTTTATTTAGAGTTCAATTTTTAGACACTGTCCTCAATGACCCACTGCTAACAAACGATTAAAATTTTAATTTATTATGTTTAAAAATTACGACACCAACAATGCTACATTTGGCAAAACTTCTCACCGGATCATCAATTACACCGTTAAAACCGTTTTAAATCAGGACTTGGTTAAAAATTTTTAAAAACTCTTCTCTTTAAAACGTAATTAATGAAATTGTTAACAAAGGTAGGTATCAAAATTTAAGATACTATGTCGGCAACAACATTAACAATAACAAAACAGATAAGCATAAATAAGGCCACACAAATCAAACAATACAATGTAAACAACATTAATTAACATTAACAATAAATACCATAACAGCAACAACAACATTCATTAGCCATAGCAAAATAACACAACAACTACTAAAACATTTTATTAACGATAACAAACCAGACATACAAACAAACAAACAAAACAACACAACATCCCCACATTCACTACCCGTTGTTTAGTATGTAAGCATTAAAAGACCGGAGCAGAAATACCACAAGCGATTTTGGTTGTAGGTGACTATCAATAAATGATTAGATTATCCGGCTCTTTACTACTTCTTTCTAAAACCGTTACTTAAATTACAAGTTCGGTAACATTACTAACATTTTAATAACTTTTACCGACATTACTAAAACTAATAGAGGGCTATTATAATTATAGTATAATAGTAATAGCAATAACAGTATAACTAGATTAATAGCTCAAGCTGAGAAATATCAAAATATTGCAAGCCAGAGTAGGTCTTGAACAACAAAAAGCATTTGCTGTTGTTGTAATTATGTTGTTGTAATTATAGAAAACCTTGTCAATAGTAGTAATGTAAGTAGTACAAAAACGGTGCTTAGATTACTGAAAGTAGCAAATAATGTAATAGTAAACCGTAATAGTATTAGTTGAATTAGTAAAAGGGGAAGTAGTACCAGCAATATTCAGATCAGTAACAGGAGTAAGTGTAGTAGTACAACTAACCGGGGCGTGTATATTTGAAGTAATATTACTTTCATTTTTGTTTGTGCTATGCAGTGGTGTGGCGGGAATAAAATTTTTTATTACCGGCCCATGAACATCGTCGCATTATTGATAACCTACACGTCCTTAAGCATATAATGCGATTAAGATAAGGACTACAACCAAAGGGGAAACGATGATAATGATGATGGTGGTGGTGATGGTGATGATTATGATGATGATAGTAGTGATGATGATGATGGTGACGATGATAATGATGATGATGGTGGTGGTGGTGGTGGTGGTGGTGGTGGTGGTGATAATGATGATGATGATAATGGTGGTGATGATGATGATGACGACGATGATGATGCAGATGAGGATACTACAGCTGCTGCAGGTAATGATGGCGGTAATGGTGGTTGTTGTTGTGGTGATGATAATTAAATTTGATAAAGATGATGGCGATGATGATTTTAATAGAAGAGAAAATGATGAAGATGATGATGATGATGATGGTGAAAGCAGACGCGAAAGCCACGATGACGATGATGATGTTGAGGAATGATTGTTGATGTAATGCCACTCATTATAAAAAAAAAAAACCAGAAGCTACCGTGCACTACCCCAACCATCCTCCGCCTCATTATCATCATCATTTTCCTGGCACCACCACCACCATCGTCATCACATCCATCATCATCATCATCATCATCAACAACAACCACACGGCAACCATCGTTGTTCTTCGTTCATTCATCATTCATCTTTTTTTTCATTCACTTTAACCGTATTTCTGGATATTCAAATATTATATACAATGCATGTATGTATATATACATACACATACATACATGTATATGAATATATGTATGTATGTATATACGTATATATGCATGTATGCATATTTGTATATTAGCGTACATAGGTCAAAGTTCATAGTTCAAATATATCCAACATAAAACATATGCCTCCTGACATTCTCTTATCTGAAAAGTAAATTTTTCATAAGGGATTTTTTCTCTTTTTTTCGAGTTTTTTTTATTTTTTTTCCGAGTGCTTTAACGTTATTATAGTGGTTTGTGTGTGTGTCTGTACTTGTGTATATAAATGTCTGTTTTATTTGTTTGTATGTCTGTATATGTTTTAGTGTGTCGGTGCCTTTTCTTAATTGTTCTGTTATGTCTGTTTGTATGTGTTTGTTGGAGTTTGTGCATTGCTACCTACATGCGTGCATGCAAATATGATTTTCATCTGGTTCCGTGCTTAGGCAAATGTTCGAGTGTGTGCAAATAGGTTCTTCTTTCATCTGGGGACAAATTTTTGTTTTCCATCTTTATGTGGATGTTTTTTTTTTATAGATGTATTCTTTTTTTGTTCACGTTGAAAGTTTTAAAACTGAACGTAGAGTTCGTTCGTCTGGTCGATGGTGATAATGTGATGATGATGGTAATGCGATGATGAGGATTGGGATTATGAAAGTGGTGTTGTAGTCGTCACATTGCCGATGATGTGATTGATGATGAACGCTATGATGTTGTTGTATGATGAATGTGATGACGACGAGAAAATGAAATCGCTGATATGGCTGAGATTAAAATGATTAAAGTGATGATAAAATTAAAATGAAGTATAATATTCATAACAAAGTATTAGTTAATTATATGTTCACCATCTTTGACGATAACGACGACGATGATGACGATGACGACGATGATGATGACGATGATGACGATGATGATGACGATGATGACGATGATGATGACGATGATGATGATGATGATGACGATGATGACGATGATGATGACGATGATGATGATGATGATGACGATGATGATGATGATGATGACGATGATGATGATGATGATGACGATGAATAGAGCTCCATTAACATTATTAATTTTTCTTTAATCACATTCAAAAATATTACATGAAAAGAAACAAAATTAAAAAAATTAATTGATTCGATTCTTTGAAAAAATTAAAAAAATGACATAAATGAAAAAATTATTCAACAGGTTTTTAAAAGACAACCATTCTGATAGAAATACATACAATGTTTTATACATTTGCATACAATTTTTGTTAAAAACATACTTGAACTTATTTTAAAACAAACTTTAATTATACAAAACTTTATTATTAATACAAAACTTTAATTTTAAAAAATATTTCCAAATATACCCAAGCGGGGAACATTATTACGGGGAACATCCGAAAATATTTGTTAACCAGTCGAAAAACCGCTTTAAAATATTTGTTAAAAGTTATAAGAGTGTTGAAGAGTTCAATTATTCTTGATAATAATAACAATTATGGCAATAATTTTATTATTAATAATAATTATTATTGTAGTATCAATGATACGATAATATTTTTGATAAAAAATGTTGACCATTGTTATAACAATTGTTTGATAAAGTTTTATTATTTAACCTGTCAAATTAGTTTTTAGGAATAATTTTTTATTTCTCTGTTAAATCGTCGAAATGAAATTTCAAAATCGTAATTAAGTCCTGAATAATTATCAATTTAATTACTTTTGTATTTTACAATTAACGATAAAAATAAAAATAATTATTATTATTAAGAATAAAAACATCAATAAACCTAATAAATATATATAAAATAATTTATCGACTGAATTAACTGGCTTGTCTGTTATCATTGCAAACGTTATTATTGTTACTTTCATTTCGTTCACAAGGTGGCACAACATCCATGGCCCCCAGACCGCAGACGTGTGTGTAACGGATGCCGTCTTGAAAATCTAAATAATTCCTTCCGGCAAGTAGGGTACTTCCGGTAGAGCCGAATCCATTTCCGGGTGAATAGTGATAAGACGGACAGTATGTTGTTGTCGATGTGGTGTTGTTGTTGGTGTTGTTGTTGTTGGTGTGGAGATGGTGGTAGTTGGGTGTTGATGTGGTTGTCGGGGCGTAGTTGTTTATGTTGTTGCTATCGGCGTTGTAGTTGTCGTCGTCATTGTCGTTGATGACGTCGCGACGTGTTGAGTAGAGGACGCGCTGAGATGAAAGCTCTTTGGCTTCTCTTAATCTGATCACGTTTGTAATTGCATTAAATGCTGGTATTGTAATGCTATTCCGCAATGAAATCATCACAAATATTATTTAATAAGTGTCAAATTATCAATTTATTATAAAAAAATCAATCCATATTATCATAATAGTTGTATAATGTTCCCATTTGCGAGAATGGTCTGCTATGCAAATCAATAAAACCAGCATCTGAACACTAAAATACAAAATATTTTTATGAAGTATACCACAAAAATAATTAGATAGACTGAAAAAATGTGGAATACTGATCAACCTCTTTTTGGAGTATAACTTTTTATGGCAGGATAATACTAATGTGAGAAGAACCACACCGATCAACACGCCAAGAACCAAGCCTACCATAACCGCAACCAACAAACCTGGCGAATGTTAGTTACATCATCACGTTGATTACTTTGGCAAAATAGACATAAATTTATCTCTGAGATTTTATACTTTACAATGTTTATAAACAGAGTTATGAATACTGGGTCGGATTTAAAGCAGAGCAAATGGCCACGCTCAAGCCCCACAAAAAGATTCAAATTGTTATAAACATATAGGTCATGTTGGCGTAATTTAATTTTTAGTTGAATACTCGCTAAAAACACTGGCTTTACTCAAAAAACTGCTAAAAAATGTAAGATCACTTGAAAAAATTACACAAATTAGAAGCTTCACAAAATACTTAGCCCTCCCCCTTCTAAATCATTCGGCACCACAACTTCTACGTGGCCCAGGGCATCCACGCTTGTGGATCCGGCCTTGATCGTCCCCCCCCCCTTATTTTTGTAATCTATAAATTATTTGAATTTTGAAATAAAATTGTAAAAATGAATTTTTAAAGTAAAAAATAATTACCAAGTGGATATATCTCCGTGCTGTCGTTCAGGACCATGCTTGACTTGGTTGGAGTCTCTAATGAAAAGATAACCAAGTAAGAACATTTTGAATAATTTTCATACATATATATCTGATGAGACAATCAATTTTAAATTTAAAAAACATTTGAACAGTTCAATTAATACGTTTGTGCTAATGGTAGTTTGTCAAAAAACAAATTTTGATTAAGCCGATGAAACTATCAGGATTCCATTTACATGAAAATTGTGAATACAAAAAGATATAAGTAGAGAGCTGATCTAGAGTTTGAAACGTTCTAAAAATTAGATTGAAGAAACTCATTCGCGATTGAAAAAATAATCAAAAGGTGGGGTGGATTTTGAGTAATAGAGGATTTGTATGTTATTTTATTTTCATTTAGCAATTTTTGTTGCTTTAATGGCTTTGTGGGTAAAATTTGTTTCAATTTAAAAACATTTTAAAAATTTAATCGCCAAATGAGACTACTCTCAACAAAACTAGTCAACAGAAGCTACCGTGCCAACCGTTGACAAAAGCCGATCAAGTAATCGGTAATACAAACCAACTGTGCAGTTGTCGACGGAGCCGTACCATCCATCGCCCTGGCAGACGATGTGCCACGATTGGATGGTGAAGTTGCACGTGATGGTGGCTTGGATGCCATTCCTCCTTAAGTGGGCACCTCGGGGTACGATTGGATCGGCACATCCTACCGCTGTGTCATGTCATGATGGTGATAAGGACGATGATGATGAAGATGATGGTGAGTATGAAGATGTTGGTGATGATGAAGATGAAAGTGATGATGAGGATGATGGTGATGATAAAGATCACATCACGTGATGGATGAGAATGATGATGGTGATAATGATTAGAATAAAGATATAAATGTTTATGATCACAAATATCAGGACTAAATTACATAATATGTGATACACGAACGGTGGTTCTATTAAACAAATAAACGAACAGACGATCGAACCACTGGCTGAACAAATGAACAGAACAAACAAATAAGTAAAAGGATAAAAAATGAATGACCAAACAAAAGAATGAGTGAATGAATGAATGAATAAATGAATGAATGAACGAATGAATAAATGAATAGACGAATGAATGAACAATTTTAAAAGCCATCACGTCAAACGAATAAATATGACAGACATTAAGTATCATATTTCAAAATTTGAAATGAACACAGCATAAATCAGGCGTATGGGAGGGATAAAATGATGACGACGACGAGAAAAGATGATGAGGATGTGATGACGATGATGACGATGAAGATTTGAGGTGATGAGTAACTGATGTTAGTTAACATATACATGTGGAATTTATGATGAAATTGAGGAAACCGCGGTAAAGATGATGAAGTGATCAAACAGACGATGATCAGGTTGAGGATGATGAAGATGATGATGTCATGAGTGAAAAGTCATCTGCCCTGGTGACGTCACTGCCAGCGGTATGACGTAAGCAAGGCGTTGAAAAATTCTAATTGGATTTGCTATTACAAGTAGTCGCTTTGAACATGCAATGGAGATGATTAGACGGTGGTGGCAGCGATGATGACGACGACGATGATGGTGAAAATTATGATGATGGTGAAAACGGGGATGATAACATTGATGATGATGACGACACCGATGATGATGGTGATAACATTATTCTGGTTATAAATTTGTAATGAAGACTAAAAAAAAGTTAAAGATTATGTCTGCAATGATGAAGATAATGTTACGATGCTAATAGTAACGATGATGATGATGATGATGATGACGATGACGACGACGATGAAGTAGACAAATTTGACGATGGCGATAATGATGAGTATCTCGCTATAACTGGAGCAATAAAAGGAATTGGACATAACGTTAACGATTGCATTAATTGTTCCTCTTTTCTCTCACTTTCTCCAACTCACTTTCTCTCTCTCTCTCTCTTTCTCTCTCTCTCTCTCTCTCTCTCTCTCTCTAGCTTCATTTTTTCATTTTGTTGTCAGTTAATTCTTTCTTTTATTCTCAATTTAACTTTCTCTATTTCAATTTTCATCTATATTTTTATTCGCTCAATTTCACTAAATAGGTTGCGTTCTGTTTTCTGCACATTTATTTAGTTTTCTTATTAATTCGTCAAAGCATGCATTCATTCATTCATTCATGCACCAATTCACCGTTCGTTTTTTCACTTAATTATGCACAGGCTTTTATTTATTCTTTCATTCGCTCTCTCATTAATTTTGTGTTCATCTTCTCATTCGTACATTCATTTATTCCTGCATTCATCCATCCATTCATTCTTTCACTCATCAATTTATTCCTTTTTTATTCATTCGTCCTTTCATCAATTCACTCGTTAATTTGTCCATGCATCCACTCAGCTTTTTATTTCATTTTTTAAGGTTTAATTGCTGAGCTTACAAAATCAGAACCGCTCTGATAAGGTCAATAAAAACGACAAACAAACTCGCACGTGCGTATGTGCCACACAATTGAATAAACACACTCACGCACACACACACACGCAAATACACGCACACTCACTCACTTACACTCACACACACACGTGCGCATAAGCACATTCAAACAAAATGCAAAGTATAAATAGATATGTTCTACCTAGACCAATAAAAGTATGATTATTACCATTAGGCACAAATCATTATTTTAAACTCACACGCACCCAGACAAACGCGCACACAAACGCGCACACAGACACACACACAGATACACACACACACACAGACACACACATACTTACGCACACTAATACAGCGTTTTATATAGCTTTATAACATCACCATAATACATTGGAATAAGGTCGTCATACATTAAGATGACGTAATAATGTTGTGACGTAAGCAGAGAAAACGCGTCATGACGTTAAATCGACTCGGACGTCACGAACAGGCAGGCCACAGATGGTCTGATGAACAAGACAGTTGGTCTTCTGGTGCTGCTTATGCTGCTGCTGCTGCTGCTACTGCTGCTGCTACTGCTGCTACTACTGCTGCTACTACTGCTACTGCTGCTACTGTGCTTTAATTGCAACAATTTATTTCAACGATGACGATAAGGATGATGAGTAAGATGATCATGGAATTATGTTTTATATGATAAGTAACGTTCATTTAAAAGTTTTCCGTCGTATTTCGCGTGTTTATATGATTTAAAAAAATCATCAATACACGTTAAAATATCATTGAGACGTCAATAATAACAGCAGATAAACTAAAACAAAAAAAAACCTAAAAAAACTAATTAAAAATCTTACGACCAAAGTGTCATCTATATAAAAATATACACACAACATCAAATACAATTCATCATAGAATCATTAACATAATAAAAATCCACAGCATTAAAAAATGCGACACCAGTGATGTCAACAACAATGATGGGAATAACACCTAGGACATTAATAACATTAAGAACAATGTTATTTGTGACAAAATCTTAATGAAAGTGAACGTGATGTGAATGACTGATATGTAACGCTGCCTATAAGCGCACACACACCACACACACACACACACACACACACACACATACACACACACACATACATACACATACATACACACACACATACAAACACTCACATAATTAGTATTTAATAATTATAACAACGATAATAATGATCTGACTAATCGCCTGTTTTCTATTCTCGTTAGTATGAATGTTTTATTTTGTAAGTTTAACCATGTAAATTTTTTATAAAGGTTATTATAATTTGCTTTGTTTTTGGCATTTATTTTTTCTCTACTTTATTTTTATCAACACCGAACCGTTCTTGTGAGTTGATGCATGCTTGAAAAGTGTTTTCCAGGTACGCTGCGTTGGCTCGGTCGTATGTCGGAGGGTGCAATAACAATTTATATACATTGAGTGGGTAGTTGATGATGACGAAGAAGAATGAATAGAAAAAAACAGGCGCTTGGATGAAGAGAGTGAGAAAAATTGCAACAAAAAATAAAGACAATAAATAAGAGAAACATAGAAAGAGAGAGGAAAAGTAAAAAAGGAATTAAAAAATGAAAGATAGATAGAAAGAAAAAAGAGCCAAAAAGAAAGAAAGACATGAATCAAATAAAAACGTTCTAAAAATAAACTTTCATAATTGGATTTGACAATGTGTGGTGATTGGTTTGATGACTTTGACATCTGTGCACGCTTTTAAAGAACCGCAAGCATGCACGCATGAATGTACGAAGCCAACATTGGCAACCACGGTTACGAGTTGAATGGGTCTTGCGTGCTACCAAATCAGAAATATTGTAATTGAAGATGTGTTTTTGTCATTAAATGTTGCACTAATTCAGTAGTCACGTCAGACTAACCTTCAAAATGCAGCGCATAATAAATAATTTCCTCTTTGACCTTTAAGTCCATCATCGTGACCTCGACCTTTGGTCCTTCCGACAACATCACGTGACGAATGCGTTCTTTCGACGTGCAGTCAGCCACGTCAATAATGGCCGAGTTAGCCGAGCGAGCCTCAACATCTCGAAGGGTGACGTAGACCTTACAGGAAGGAGCATGTTCCAGCTGGTTCCTCCTCGTTCGATGCCTCGCGTCGTGGTAGGCCTGTAAGAGGTGAAGTTCATTTTCATGCCGAATCAAACTTTGCGGACTTGCCATCGTCTGAATTGAAATGACGTCATCGCGTCGCAAAGCCACCCCGTAGTCGTGGAGAGTGAAGTTGATTTGTTGGCCTCTGCTGGCGGTAATCATCCAGGGACACCTGGGTCCTCCAATTTTCAACTCCTCCACGACCAGACTGGCCAGGTAGCCACGTGGTTCGTTGACGATCTGCGGATCCCCGAAGTGGTTGCACGTGTAAGGCTTGCCCATCTCAACTGCAAGATGGAAGCCGTGTGAGTCGAATATCTAATCTTTATTTAGTAACTACCACAATTCATTGGACTAACGGTGAATGTTTTTTTAGCAAAAATTCAACTATAAATAACAACATTTACAAAATTTTACCCACAAATATAGCATCAAATAAATAGCACAACGAAATTTAACAAAATTCCAACTGCAACATTTGTATGTTACAATCTCAGCATCAACAAAACTGTCAACCACAACCATGACGTCATTCTCAACCAAAAAGAACCAACAGCAATCACTTGACATACCTTTGACGCAGGAATAATCAGCTTCTAGGGAAACGGAGAAATCATTTGGGCAGGGCTTCAACTGGTAGAGGATGGGATCAGGAGTGACCACATGACAACTCCGCCTTCCTGAACATCTGCGTGTTAATTCAGTTTATTACAGAGATATTTTTATATTTTTGATATTATATTATATTTTATTATTAATTTAATAACATTTTCTAATGTTATTTAAATACTTTATTAGTTTGGGACATATTCAGTATTCGATTTTATTTAGTTATGTTTGCAGTGATTTACACTTATTTGGGATACGAAGATGACAATTTCGTTGTTGAAACAATGCTGTAAGCACGTTACAAAACAACTGATGAATAATTCCAAACTGCAAAAACTACTAAGTTATGTTGAGTATATCGTTAAAAACTATGTAATCTTCAATCAATCAACTAGCAAACCAATCATTTAATCAGTCAATCATTCAATCAATCAATCCACAAATAAATCATTCAACCAATCAATCCACAAACCAATCATTCAACCAATCAATCCACAAACCAATCATTCAATCCACAAACCAATCATTCTGCCAATCATCCAACCTAGCGTCGATGAGAACCAAGACATCAACGGAGCAGTCAAGATGGTATTCCGTTGTGACGCACCTCCCTTTTGAGCTCCTGCCATACATTGCTGACGTCATCATAATCATTTCGTCAGGGCCGCAACTGGCGTTGAAGTGCCAGGGGAAACAGTACTGTTGCACTTCTGAAAATTTTGCAGTTGGATGTAAAAATAATTTATCTGTCTGGCTATAATTTTTAATTTATGAGAAACAATAGTTTTTAGAATATTATTTGATGTATTTGTTTATTTTTTTGAGAAAAGATAATTTTTAGAATATTATTTGGTGTATTTGTTTTTTTTCCGAGTTTTCAATGTTTGAAATATAATATTATTACAATGTCAGACAACGTTGCAATCACTGTAAATGATTTTTAGAATCATCGGCGAAGCACACACACGCACGCACGCACACACACAAACACACAGACAGACACACACACACGCATGCACACACACACACGTATTAAAACCACTTTTCACGTACATTGCGTGTGTGATAGGTGGGAGAATAGTCACAGCAACAGCAGGTAACAATCAGCATAACAATAATAATAGTAACAATAACAACAATAATAATAACAACTAAAACGATGAAGAAGATGACGATGGTGACAGAAAAGATGATGATGAAGAAGATGATGGTAATGATAATGATGAGACAACCGTGATGATAATGATGACAAATTGGCCAACATTAATATTGACACTTAAATTTAAAAGCGTTCTATTTATATGCAAAGTTATTAAGATGCATTGCTTGCAGGTCAAAGGTTACGTACGCATACGCGGACACGCACACGCGCGCTAACTTTTACGTAATAGGAATACGTTGATGTGTAAAACTTGTGAACATAATAAACGTTTATACATTATAAATGTGTGTAAATAGTTTTTTATATGTTTTAGTATGTGTGTACATTTTCTCTTTCTCTCTCTCTCTCTCTCTCTCTCTCTCTCTCTCTCTCTCTCTCTCTCTCTCTGTGTGTGTGTGTGTGTGTTTATGTGCGTGTTTTTCTGTGTGTGTTTGTGCGTTTTCATTTATCTATTTTATTGTTTTCATTTTATTGGTACCATTTCAACTAGCGACACTGATACTTGTTATTATACATCACTGATCAACGAAAAGCAATACAAAAGTATGAAAAAACAACATCAACAACATAGACAAACACTGAATATAAACAACAGCACAACAATAATAGAAATAACAACAACAACAACAA